GAGGGGGGGAGGAGTGGGGCCAGCCTGGGACAGGGCACTGGGGGATGGGGACAGCCTGGAGAGGCTTGGGGACACGGGGGTGAGGTGGGGGGACAGCCTGGAGAGGTGCTGAGATGAGGGGACACACAGGGACTTGGGGGTGGGAGGGTTGGGGACAGCCTGGAGGGACACTGAGACACTGGGACATGGGGACATGGGGTGGGGACATCATGGGACAGGGCTGTGAGGGACAGGGACAGCCTGGAGAGGGACAGGGACACCACAGCCTTGTCACACAGTGTCACAGGGACAGGGCTCTGAGGGACAGGGCAGTGACAGAGGGGACAGAACCTGGAGAGGGACAGGGACACTGTGGCCTTGTCACACAGCTGTGAGGGACACAGAGCTTGGAGAGGGACACGGGTCACAGGGACACGGGACAGGGCTGTGAGGGACAGGGCAGTGACAGAGGGGACAGAACCTGGAGAGGGACAGGGACACTGTGGCCTTGTCACACAGCTGTGAGGGACACAGAGCTTGGAGAGGGACAGGGACATGGGGACAGGGACACGGGGACAGGGACACGGGGACAGGGCTGGGATGGACAGGGACACGGGGACAGGGACACGGGGACAGGGACACTGGAGATGGGGACACTGGGGACAGGGACATTGCAGGAGTGGGACAGTATGGCCGTGTCACTTGTTCCTTGAGGGATGGTGGCCCTTGGGGACATCCAAGCTGCTCTGTGTCCCTTGTTCCTGTCCCCGAGGTGGCCCTTGGGGACATCAGAGCTGCCCCGTGTCCCTCGGCTCTGTTCTTGTCCCTATTCCTGTCCCCGAGGTGGCCCTTGGGGACACTCGTGTCACCATAAAGCGCCTTTGTCTCTCCCGTGGCCTGCTCTCTTCTTTGGCTGGGGACGTTTCGGGGTGTCCCCTGTGTCCCTTGGAGCCCTGTGGGGACACCTGCCACCCCCTTGGGGACAGAAGGGCAGTGGGGGAGTTTGGGTGGGGGTTTGGGGTTTTTTTGGGTTTTTTGAGGTTTTTTTGGGAGGCGTTGGGGTTTTTTTTGTTTAGTTTTTTTTTTGGTTTTGGGGGTTTTTAAAGGTTTTTTAGGGGGTTTTGGGGGATTGTTTCAGGCTTTTTTGTTTTTGGTATTTTTAGGGGTTTTTTGTGAGGTTTTTGGGGGTTTTTTTAAGGTTTCTTTAGAGGGTTTTGGGGGATTGGGGGTTTTTTGCTTTTGTTTTTATTTTTGTTTTTTTAAATTGGGTTTTTTGTGAGGTTTTTGGGGGTTTTTTGTTTGTTTTGGGGGATTTTTTAGGGGTTCTTTTTGGAGGTTTTGTGGGGTTCTTTGGGGGTTTTGGTTTTTTGGGGTTTTTGTTTGTTTCTGTTGTGGGGCTTTTTTTGTTTTGGCTTTTTTGGGGGGATTTTTTGGAGGTTTTTTAAAGGTTTTTTTTAGGGGTTCTGTGGGGATTTGGGGTTTTTTTTGGGGGGGGTTTCTTTGTCTTGAGGGTTTTGGATTTTTGGGGGGATTTTTTTTTGACGTTTTGGGTTGGGGGTTTTTGTTTGCTTTTGGTTGTTTTTTGTTTGTTTGTTTGGGTTTTTTGTTGTTTTGTTTTGTTTTTGTTTTGTTTTTTGGGGGGCCCAGGGATGCTTTTTCAGTCCTCCCCGCCGCCAGGGGGCGCCGCGCAGCCGCGTCCCTCCTCTGCCCTTCCGCCACTTCCGCTTCCGGCGCTCGGCGTTCCCGCTCCCGCCGCCATTTTCGCCGCCATTGCCCCGGGCCCGGCGCCGCCGCCATGGGCGCTCACCTGGGCCGGCGCTACCTGTGGGACGCCGAGGCCGAGCCCGACCCGCTGCACATGCCGTCCTTCCCCGCCGAGCTGGGCATGCCGCTCCGCAAGCCGCGCGGTCAGTGCGGGGACACCGCCAGCAGGGGGGGGGACACCGGGAGGGGACACCGGGGGGGACACCGTGAGGGGACACGGGGACACCGTGAGGGGACACGGGCGGGGCGCGGTGGCCTTGGGGTGTCCCCGCCCTCGCGTGACCCCGGTGACCTCCCGGCGCGGCCCCCCGCGTGTGATTCCCGGTGCCACCCCCCGTGTCCCCTCCCTGTCCCCAGCCCTGTCCCCACGTGCCACACGGGTGTCGGTGTCCCTGCTCTGCCACCCCGTGTCCCCGCTCTCGCGTGACCCCGGTGACCTCCCGGCGCGGCCCCCTGTCTGTGATTCCCGGTGCCACCCCCCCGTGTCCCCTTCCTGTCCCCAGCCCTGTCCCCACGTGCCACACGGGTGTCGGTGTCCCTGCTCTGCCACCCCGTGTCCCCGCTCTGTCACACCCTGCCCCCTGTTTGTCCCCATCCCGGCTGGGGGCTGAGTGTCCCCATTGTCCCCGAGTGTCCCCTGTGTCCCTGAGTGTCCCTGAGTGTCCTTGAGTGTCCCTGTGCCCTCTGTCCCCTGTGTCCCCGAGTGCCCCAATTCCCCCTGACCTCTCTGTCCCCACGTCCCTGAGTGTCCCTGAATGTCCCTGAGTGTCCCCTCTGTCCCCTCTGTCACACCCTGTCCCCTCGGTTTGTCCCCGTGTCCCAGCAGTGCTGAGTGTCCCCTGTGTCCCCGAGTGTCCCCGAGTGTCCCTGTGCCCTCTGTCCCCTGTGTCCCCGAGTGTCCCCAATTTCCCCTTGGCCTCTCTGTCCCCACGTCCCTGTGTGTCCCTGAGTGTCCCTGAGTGTCTCTCACTGTGTCCCTGTCCCCTCTGTCCCAGCCATGGTGGCCTTGGTGGTGCAGCTGGCCCAGGGCCGCGTGTCCCTGCGTGTCCCTGGGTGTCCCTGGGTGTCCCTGCTGTCCCTCACTGTGTCATTGTCCCCTGTGTCCCCCAGCCATGGTGGCCTCGGCGGAGCAGCTGGCCCAGGGCCGCGTGTCCCTGGAGCAGAGGGATTTCTGCGGGCACCACCTGCTGCGGCTGCTGCGCTGCCACCGCGACAACTTCCCCGTGCAAATGCCCTTGAGTGTTCCTGTCCCTTCTGACCTCTCTGTCCTTTCTGTCCCCATGTGCTGCTTGGGTGTCCTTAACTGTCCCTGACTGTCCTTGTCCCCTCTGTCCCCCAGCCACGGTGGCCTCGGCGGCTCAGCTGTCCCCGGGCCGCGTGTCCCTGTGTGTCCCTGGGTGTCCCTGGGTGTCCCTGGGTGTCCCTGCTGTCCCTCACTGTGTCATTGTCCCCTGTGTCCCCCAGCCATGGTGGCCTCGGCGGAGCAGCTGGCCCAGGGCCGCGTGTCCCTGGAGCAGAGGGATTTCTGCGGGCACCACCTGCTGCGGCTGCTGCGCTGCCACCGCGACAACTTCCCCGTGCCCTGGGGCTGCCACGCGCTGCGCCACGCCTGGGACAGCTGCCAGCACGAGGAGTAAGGGACAGGGACATGGGGACATGATGGGGACATGGGGACAGCGTGGGGGGACATCATGGGAGGGACAGCTTCCCCGTGCCCTGGGGCTGCCACGCGCTGCGCCACGCCTGGGACAGCTGCCAGCATGAGGAGTAAGGGACAGGGACATGGGGACACTGGGGACAGCATGGGGACATGGGGCTGCCACGTTGGTGGGACAGCTAGCTGCCAGCATGAGAAGTAAGGGACAGGGACATGGGGACATCATGGGGACATGGGGGGGCATTGGGGACACGATGGGGGGACACGGCTGGGACAGCTGGCAGCACCAGGAGTAGGGGACATGGGGGACATTGGGGCTGGAGGGAACACGGGGGACACAGGACTGGGGCACAGCAGGAGGGTGACAGGGACACGGGAGGGGCTTGGGGACATGGGGCCACCGCAGTGGCACAGAGGTGTGGTGACACACGGTGACAGGCGGTGACAGGCGGTGACATAGTGCCGTGGTGACACACAGTGACACGTGGTGACACGGTGACACAGTGGTGACACACAGTGACATGTGGTGACATGGTGACACAGTGGTGACACACAGTGACACGGCGGTGACATGGTGACACAGTGGTGTGGTGACACACGGGGACACGGTGATGACACGGTGATGACACGGTGACAGGCGGCGACGTGGCGACACACGGTGACGTGGTGCTAACACAGTGGTCACATGGTGACACACGGTGACACAGTGACACGGTGGTGACGGTGACACAGTGCTAACACACAGTGACACAGTGGTGACACACGGTGACACAGTGACACACAGTGACATGGTGGTGACATGGTGACATACAGTGACACACAGTGACGCGGTGACACACAGTGACACACGCGGTGACGCGGTGCCGCCCTGTCCCAGCTACGTGACACAGTGACACAGTGCTAACACAGCGGTGACACACGGTGACACACGGTGACACACAGTGACACGTAGTGACACACGTGACACACGCGGTGACACACAGTGACACATGCGGTGACACACGTGACACACGCGGTGACGCGGTGCCGCCCCGTCCCAGCTACGTGATGCGCATGAAGGAGTTCGAGCGCGAGCGGCGCCTGCGGCTGCGGCAGCAACGGCTGCAACGGCGCCGCGGGGACAGCGAGTGACAGCGAGTGACACCGGGGGACAGCGAGTGACAACGGGGGACAGCGGGGACAGCGAGTGACACTGTGGGGACAATGAGTAACGACAAGTGACACCGAGTGCCACCTGGGACACTGAGTGCCACCAAGTGACACCTGGCTCATCGAGTGACACCTGAATGACACTGAGTGACACCCAGGACACCGAGTGACACCACGGTGACACCTGGGACACTGAGTGACACTGTGGTGACACCTGAGTGATACCCAGGACACCGTGGTGACACCGAGTGACACCTGGGACACCAATGACACCGAGTGACACCTGGGACACCAAGTGACACCTGAGTGACACTGGCAACACCAAGTGACATCTGGGATACCGAGTGACACCTGAGTGACACCCGGGGACACCAAGTGACACCCAAGTGACACTGGAGACACCGAGTGACACCCGGGGGACTGAGTGACACCCGATGACACCGAGTGACACCTGAATGACACTGGAGACACCAAGTGACACCCCAATGACAGTAACATGAGGCCACCCCGCAATAAAGCTGCCAAGTGACACTGAGTGACACCCAAGACACCAAGTGACACTTGAGTGACACCTGAGTGGCATCAGGGACACCGTGGTGACACCGAGTGACACCTGAGTGACACTTGGTGACACGGTGACACACGATGACACAGTGGTGACGTGGTGACACGGTGACGCATAGTGACACAGTGACATGGTGGTGACATGGTGACACACAGTGACACAGTGACAGGCGGTGACACACAGTGACACACACGGTGACACGGTGACACACGGTGACACACGCGGTGACACACGCGGTGCCGCCCTGTCCCAGCTACGTGACACAGTGACACAGTGCTAACACAGTGACACACAGTGACACACACGGTGACACGTAGTGACACACGTGACACACGCGGTGACACACGCGGTGCCGCCCCGTCCCAGCTACGTGACACAGTGACACAGTGACACCCGATGACACCAAGTGACACCCCGGTGACACCGAATGACACCGGGGACACCACGGTGGCACCGAGTGACACTGGCAACACCAAGTGACATCTGGGATACCGAGTGACACCTGAGTGACACCCAGGGACAACGAGTGACACTGAGTAACACCCCAGTGATGGTAACACGATGCCACCCCCCAATAAAGCTGTCAAGTGACACTGAGTGACACCCAAGTGGCACCCCGGTGACGGTGACACGAGGCCACCCCCAATAAAGGACACAGTGGTGACACACAGTGACACGGTGACAGGCGGTGACACACGTGACACAGGCGGTGACGCGGTGCCGCCCTGTCCCAGCTACGTGACACAGTGACACAGTGCTAACACAGTGGTGACACACGGTGACACGGTGACACGCGGTGACACACGGTGACACGTAGTGACACACGTGACACACGCGGTGACACACGCGGTGCCGCCCCGTCCCAGCTACGTGATGCGCATGCAGGGATGGCACCTGGATGTGACACTGCCACCGGGGAGGGGACACTGCCAGTGCAGAGGTGACATTGTCTGGATGTGACACTGCCACCAGGGAGGGGACACTGCCAGTGCAGAGGTGACATTGTCTGGATGTGACACTGCCACTGGGGAGGTGACACTGTCACTCTGGATGTGACACTGCCACCGGGGAGGTGACACTGCCACCCTGAAAGTAACACTGCCACCAGAGAGGGGACACCGGGGATGGCACCTGGAGGTGACACTGCCACCGGGGAGGTGACACTGCCACCGGGGAGGGGACATTGCCACCGGGGAGGTGACACTGCCACCGGGGAGGGGACATTGTCTGGATGTGACACTGCCACCAGGGAGGGGACACCAGGGATGGCACCTGGATGTGACACTGCCACCGGGGAGGTGACACTGCCAGTGCAGAGGTGACATTGTCTGGATGTGACACTGCCACCAGGGAGGGGACACCAGGGATGGCACCACACTGCCACCAGAGAGGGGACACTGCCACCGGGGAGGGGACACTGCCAGTGCAGAGGTGACACTGGGGATGTCACCCTGGATGTGACACTGCCACCGGGGAGGGGACACTGCCACCCTGAAAGTAACACTGCCACCGGGGAGGGGACACTGGGGATGGCACCCTGGAGGTGACACTGCCACCAGAGAGGGGACACTGCCACCAGGGAGGGGACACTGCCACTGCAGAGGTGACATTGTCTGGATGTGACACTGCCACCAGGGAGGGGACACTGCCACAGGGGAGGGGACACCGGGGATGGCACCTGGAGGTGACAGGGGACAGCGGGGCCACACTGCCGTGTCCTGCTGTGACACCAGGGTGACAAGGGGCTCGCGTCCCCTGTCCCCTCACTGTCCCCAGGGCTCAGGGCACGACTGGCAGGGACACAGCAGGGTGTCCCCAAGGTGTCACAGCAGGGAGGGGACAGTGAGGGATGTCCCCAGGGCTGTCCTGAGGCTGTCCTCACTGTGTCACAGCAAGGAGGGGACACTGGGGGATGTCCTGGGGATGTCCCCGCGGTGTCCCCACGGTGTCACAGCAGGGAGGGGACACTGGGGGATGCCCCCGGGGCAGTGTCACAGCAGGGAGGGGACAGTGAGGGATGTCCTGGGGATGTCCCCGCGGTGTCCCCGCGGTGTCACAGCAGGAAGGGCACGATGGGCGAGCGCAGCGGGGGGTAGTCGCGGAACTCGCGCAGGTAACTGCGGTGCTTGCCCTGAGCCCAGATCGCCATCTGCACGAACCCCACCAGCGAGAACAGCGCCACTGCGGGACAGCGACAGCGCTGGCACCGCGGGGACACCGCGGGGGCACCGCGGGGACAGGGACAGCGCGGGGACAGCGCCACTGCGGGACAGCGACAGCGCTGGCACCGCGGGGACACTGCGGGGGCACCGCGGGGACACCTCAAATCCCCTCAAAATCCACCCAAATC